CCGGGTTTTGGCTGTGGATCGGGTCTGGGCCCCAAAGGTTCGTGGCCCAGCCCAGTGGCTATACGCATTTATATATAGAATAGCGTGTGAATCAAGAATATAAAATTCGTATTATGATTGCTAGTTACTGCTGGAAAATTGGCGAGAACAAAAGCACGTGTTGGCCTCTAATACTCACGAATTTATTGTTAAAATATGTGCATGTGTATCAAGCTACCAGATTTTTAGTTTTTTCTATTATTGATCGAGAGGTTTGGAATCTACGTGTACTTTCGGATATAAATCATGCTGTAAATTTGTCGATGCAAAAGGATCAAACTAACTCAGACATTACGTTCACCTTCTAATTTTTATACGAATTTAGATCCTATTCATTATAATTAAAAAAAATAAAGAGACCATTATTTTTAATCACAACACTGATTATATAGCGGGTGGGTGATCGTGAATTTAATACTCACTGATTCCTTATAAATTGCATTCATTCTTAATTTGTATTCAAAAAAAATCATAATCACTTATTAAAGAATCAACGATTGTGATTACGTAGTTTTTCCTCAACTATCTTTAGTAGTAGGAGGTTAATTGTTAGTTGTGAAATTTTGGGAGTCGATCAATAAAGAAAATAAAAGCATAATGCTAACTCCTTCAACTTCACGTGTCAATTGAAATAAAGCATCAAAGAAATTCATTTACCAACGATTGAAGCTGTGGACTGCCCTCTTATTATTAGCCAAAACGGCCCTTCTATTTCTTCATATAATTTTCAATGTCACACGGGCATTGGTTGTCTGGGCGGAGCTAGGTGTGTAAGTTTGGGGGGCTAGGCCCTCCCAAACTTGATTTTGTAATTTGAATATATGTATGGTAATTATAATCGACAACTTAAATATTTATACATATAGATTGGGTAGCCTTCTTGCAAATTAGCTTAAATTGCACTTGAACACCCTATCATTTCCCCTACTTTGCACTTAGATACACTTTGCACTTAGCTACCCCTCTTTGTTTTTCTATATATATATGTATATATTTATACACGCACGTACGCACGCACACGTATGTATGTACCTAAAATACATCTTTGTAAATGCTTCACCATATTTTCAATCCCTCGTGGTCACATTCTTCTCCACTGCATCATATTCTTTCACATAGAGATATCCTAATTCCATACCATGAGGGTGTGGAAAGAATGGGTAAGGTCGAGGGAATGGCTACAAATATCAAATCTTTTTTTTTTTTGCCAGTAAGAAATGTTAAATCTAGAGACACCGTACATGTTACTAATAAAACATTTCTCCATGGTATTCCATCAAACACATGGAATGCAGTTTTTCGCACCTTAAATTGTAAGTGACCGTATCAAGGAGCACCAAATTAAAGTAGAAGGTGGAACAAAATAGAAAATTTAAAATAGAGATGAGAAGGACAGCAAAGGAAATGGAGAATGAAAAAAAATTCAAGAAGAGAGAGGGAGGTTGTCGAGAGAGTTGAAGTTGAAAAGGAGCTGAGGATGTTAGGGGAGGAGGAGGGTACATGGAGAGGGTGAGGAAGGCCCATAAAAACAAGAAGAGGAAGAGGAAATGGTGAGAGGATAGAGAGGGGTGCAGGGTGGAGATGAGAGAGGGATGAGGAGAAGGAAGAGGTGATCGGGAATGGGTGTCGACGGAGGTTGGAGAAGACCAAGAAGAGGAGAGAGGAAGATCCAATTAGAGAAAATTAGGCTTATTTTTAACAGACAAGAAGAAGAGAAAGAAAAGAAGAAAAGAGAAAGAAGAAATGCACTTTGGGATTTTTATTATTTCTATAGAGATAAACTTTACATATATCTTGTTTTAGATAATATCGGTTTAAGGGTAACCACAAATAGTTATTAGGGTTTATAGTTGTAGATAGAAATACTTGGGTTTAAAATATAAAGGCTAAATTGACTTACATGTCCTAAAGATTCACTAACATTGGAGATTCACTAACATTGCACTTAAATGACCTATATTTTAAAATCAAGCAAAAAAATACCCCAAAAGTATTCAAGTGTTGAAGATAAATGCACCATAGTTACAAAAAACTTAGATGGCGTTAACTTTTCTCTACGAATGCAAGTATCACATAACATAAGGTATTACACATATTTAGAAACTTGAAGATATTTAAGTGGGGCTATTTACAAACTGAGGGTATTTATATGTAACATTGGGTAAACAAGAGGGCATTAACATGCAATATTTTAAAATTATGAGGAATTTATCTACAAAACATATATACTTTGAGGCATTTAAATGCATGATTTTAAAATAGAGGTTACTTAAGTGCAAGGTTAGTAAAACTACAGGGCATTTAAGTGCAATTTTGGGGTTACACTTTTGGGTTTTAAGACAAAAAGCCCCCATTTTCCCCTATGATATTGGTGAATATAAACTGTGTGTTATCAGACATCAACAAAAACCCTAACCAATAGCTCAGAAAATACTTCTTTTCTATGCTCCAAATATCCCCAATTCGATGTTCAATTCTCTCTTCCAATCATTCCATATATATAGAAATCTTAAAACCAAAAACATACTAGAAATTCTAAAACCAAAAGCAAAACAGATTAGGAGTCTTAATAACATGTTACCAAAACAGATTTGGAATCCTGTTACCAAAACATATTAGGAATCTCCATAACTTGTTACCAAAACAAATTAGGAAACATATTAGGAACCAGCTATCCAACAATTCTCCACCTCGGTGAAGTTTTCCCAAAACTGAGCTGACACTAATACCAACCAAACATCTCACT